TCTGCGAACCTCTAAGGAAAACATACTTCGCCGCTAGCCTACGACTGACGTTTTCCTGCAAGAAATTGCTCAACCAGAATGCGAAAGACAAGCTGTCACATTGTGCCACTTCAAAGTGCATATACCAGTTTACCTGATCTTGCGAAGCTGGACACATCGGCCGTACCACATGCCAACTCGAAAAACGTGCTTGTGAACACTGTCCAGCCTGGTTATTAAAAGGTGAACTAAAACATGTATGTAGTTCTGTGACAGAACATCTGTTCATTTCAAGACATTCAGCGCCATTCGAAAAAATCCTTCAAAGTAATGTACAAGACTTGATTAAACCTATCAAAGGCAAGTAAAATAAAGACATCTGGGTATAGTCAAGGCACTAGCTATCCTATTCTTCTAATAGTGACTATCCAATTGCCTTTCTTATCCAAACTTCCTGTTTATTCATGTTATTTTTAAATCTTTCTTAATCTCTATATACACTACCATATTTTCATATCCAAACTTCCTGTCTATTTTGTTATTTTACCATTTCTACACATTTAATCCCTGATTACATAAACAATTATTCGTCACATTAGTTATGATCCCACTAGATTTTTATCCAAACACCTTGTCTATTTTTGTTATTTCTACATTTTGTACTACCAATTGCACAATTTGTCAATCTTCTCAGCAATTATTATGCTACTTTGTTCGAATCCTATTCATTCCCCTGTTAATTATGGCATTTTAATTCCTAATAGTTATTTTTATTAATTTGACCTTTAACCGGAAATTGTTCTAGAACTTGTTTTCAACAGACCGTTTGTCAACCCAAATTTTCGCTTGTTTTACGCCTTTTTCTGAGCAACATATATGTCTTGTCACTAATCATGTAGTTAATCTTATATCCGTGCATTTAACCATCCATACAAAGAAATAGGTACGTTCGACAGAAACTAATTCATGTAACCCAAAACTTTCATGTATTTCTCTTGAATCCGCTTCGAATTGAAATTGAAATCGCTGCGTAAGACATTAAAAGTTTTAGCGTGGAATAAAATCTTTTTGAATCAGATCCTATTGTGGAAATGTGAACAATTATTGAAGGTATCGGTTCTGTGCCGCAACTTGTTTTAAAAGGAAATAGCTTCACACAGGACATAAATCGTTCTTTCGTATATTGCGTCTATAAACCTACTGAGTATCATAGACCTATCCTAGAGTGTCTTATCAAACTCTTAAGGGGAATTTAAGCAAGAAATTTGTTCGTATTTCTCATGATATTAAAATCATTCTAATTACCCTTTTGCTCTAAAAAAATGAGATGCATTCCAGTGATAAAATTTTGATTGTATCAAACCAGTGACAACAAATTCTTTTCAAGCACTAAGAACCATTCAGTACTTAATCGTGAATGCTCCTCATTTGAAATTGCTTTAAATATTGAAGCAAAGATTCATGCGTTCATAAATGTATACCACAACCCTTGTCAAATTTATTATATTTCTTTTATTATGATAATGATGTCTGTTAAATTATAGTTTCACATTAAAATAGGATCACTTCTGAAATTATAAAAGTCAAAACGGCTAGCATGTTTGGAAATTTCGTATAGTCTGGCTATAACGTTTTCCCTAACAACTGATGGTTACTCACAGTACTTCAATTTACCTTCCACTATCTTTCACAAATGGAGTCAACCCTCAGGAGGATTTATGGCGTCATGTGAGAATTTCTATAGCAGAACCGGTAAACTTTTAATCTGCTGCATGCAATCTAAATAACAATGTTCGGGTTTTCAATACCGATGTTAAGTCTGTGGCTTAATTAGGTTCCGAGGCTTGTTATTTCCAGAAAACTGCAGAGCTGCTTCAACAACTGCCTTAGCTCGATACTGAAGTTCATATGGCCAAGAAGGTTTAGAGACAGAAAACTCTGGCAACAAACCAAGCAAGAACCTATTACAGAATAGAAATGCAGATTGAAATGGAAATGTTTAGTGTATTTGCTAAGGAGACCGTTGATCAACACCATCCGCCAGGTGCTGGTGGGGAATTTGGATGTGAAACGTGCAGATGAGTGAGCGCCCGAGGGTGAAATGGCGGAGATGTCGTGAGAATAACATTAAATCTTATAAGCAATCATGGAGTATAGAGAACCGTGCAGAATGAAGACGGGCTGATGAAGCCCCGTATTCTACTCGTAACCAAGCGAATATTATTAATCTAACTATGTTTACGAATTGTTCCTTAAATTGCAGCATGTTACTGAACTAAGAGCACTTAAGGGTAAGTATCTACAATACACGCCAAATGAAGTCAACAGAGTGATAAGGAATCTTATCTTCTTCTCATAGAAACGATTGAAACCTTTTACATATTCTCAGTGTATTTGCCTTAAGGAAGCTCGGTACAGTCAAATGAGTAATAAATTACTGCATTTTCATATGGATTATATTTTGTGCATATTTTAGCTGTTGTCAGTTTTTGAGGAAATTATTGATCTCTGACGAATAAGTGATCTGGAAGAAGAACATCAAACGCTTCAAGACTTCACAACTTCAAATAATCATACTCTTCGTTGATATAAAGTGAAACTTCGTGTGATTTTGAGCACTTTTTCTATTAGTTTTCATTATCGTGGAACTGCTGTTACTTCTGTCCAGATATTTAGAAAAAATTTCGAACATTTGCTCTGCGTGAACCAAACGACTCCAACCTTGGGCTCTTATGTTTCTGTTGTGATAGTGGTTTTTTGCAGAGTAGGATCATAAGCCTCACAGCCGACCTTCCCTTTTTTAACTAAGGCTATTACACGCCAAATGGATTCTGGGAGTGTGTTAGCCAATCCAATTTTAGGCTGGAAACGTGTCTCAAAATAAGCAATAATTATCAACCTCTTACTTCAAATTCCCAAGGAGCTCGTTTATATTGGATTTAAAGCTGTTGTAAGCAATTAAAGTGACCTCACTTCATGCTTATTCTAAGTACTCGACTTTATCGACTTCATTATTCTGAAAGTTTAATAAGTCATAACAGCCGTAATAAAATAATTCGGATAGATTTTTGCTAACTTTTGTAACACATATCTTCAAACATTATGGTAAGTAGAAAAATGCATAGGCTGTCATATATTTTCTTGACTAACCTGTTATCTAATCACGCCTTTACGATAAAAACTGAAATATTCTCTGAGCAACCCATTAGTAGATTTTTAGATAGCCCAAAGCTAATCAACAAGAAAAACCAAAGCTTAGGATACAATTGGTGGATGGTGACTAGCAGTGGAATCCAGGATGCGCATTTCGTCCTATTTGGGACTCGTCAGCTGGATGTACCTGCATTTCTCAGTGAGTGATGATGTTCCCACCGAGGCTCGAACCCAGTACCCATAGTTTCGAATGCCAAAGCGTTATCCACTAGACCAATTGGGCCACGAGAGCCACCTCTTGTGCAACGGGTCACATTAATTATTGAATTGGATTATTGAATCTGCACAAGAAGCCGACATGTCAACCTGAGACCAAGCACTTCGGTCCAATTGTGGTGAGAGCAGGCTGCTAGCCGATTGGTTGGCACTAATCTACGTTAAGGTCTAGGTCACTAATATGGGCCGTGAACAAGCCTGAGTCAACAACCAATCACAGCAAAGTTAACGTGGCAAAATATGATTCGCAGAGAGAACTCTATTTGTCAAGGAATCCCGAAACAACCAATCAGAAGCCTGCGTTTGTCTACCTAAACAACCAATCAGATGACTGCGCTTGTCTATAATAATGTAGTTGAAAGATGTATAAATACGTGTTGATTTTCATAATAAAACGATCTGTTGCCTGGCCCTTGTCTTCTGTTGTTACATTTGGTGTCGCTGCCTACCGACAAATGGAAAGCCTATACCCTGCAGTTTTTGATGGAGACATATGGATCTTCGGGCAGGACTTCAAGGCTTCTGCGCAGTTGAGTGGCGTTCAAGATCTGTCAGCGATGGAGCTGCTACTTGAGACGCTGCTGGGAGGTCGGGCGAAAGCAGCATATGAAGGTGTGGGCCGAAGTATGGACGAATGTTCGACAGGGTCAGGCAAACAGTTTCCAAAGTGGGAAGGACCATATATGGTCACTTCGAGATGGGGTTACGCAGACACAGTCGCAATGGCGAACAATGAGAGGCGCGTGAACGTCAGCGAGCTCCAGAAATGGATACAGCGAGACAAGCCAACGATGACGCCTGCACCAAGTAGATCAAGCCGACTTCAGTCGCACGTATTTGACGGGGGGACGAGTGTGGTGAGAGCAGGCTGCTAGCCGATTGGTTGGCACTAATCTACGTTAAGGTCTAGGTCACTAATATGGGCCGTGAACAAGCCTGAGTCAACAACCAATCACAGCAAAGTTAACGTGGCAAAATATGATTCGCAGAGAGAACTCTATTTGTCAAGGAATCCCGAAACAACCAATCAGAAGCCTGCGTTTGTCTACCTAAACAACCAATCAGATGACTGCGCTTGTCTATAATAATGTAGTTGAAAGATGTATAAATACGTGTTGATTTTCATAATAAAACGATCTGTTGCCTGGCCCTTGTCTTCTGTTGTTACACAATCAATCGACGGGAAAATCAAAAAAAAATCCAATTCAATAAAAACCAAAGCTGTTTATTTAAATATTTGAATAGCGAAGCGTTAATTGCATTTTATTAGAGACGGCTAATATAATTAGGGCCTCAAAGCAAAAAATGTGACAAGGGTATTTCAATATTAACAGCCTTCTGTTGTAAGAATTAAACAATTTTATTTATTTGCAAAGAGTAATTTTGACATGTCGGAATAGCAGTATAGGATAAAAAAAACAGCAGAAGTGGTGCAGAATAAGACTAAATGTCTGTTGGAGACTATAGAATGCAAAAAGACATAAGCATTCATTTTATTATTGTCACGTTGGCGAACATGAAAATTTCAGCATTTTAACTCTGATACAGTAAAGAATAGAGAAACAGAATGACTCACTTGTTCTCTCATCTTCTTACTTAAGTTTAATAAGAGAATGAAACAAATTTTTGTTAACATCGTGCAATCGATATTAAACACTAATTACGTTAATATCAGTAAAACATTTGAGCATTGTGGATTCGGTCAAATAAAGTTTAATTATATTTCAATAGTTTATACACAATGATAAGTTTTGTTACTGCTAATATTTCGAGCAAAATTACCACTGCACGTGTTCACACCACTGTTGGAATTGTTTTATTCACACATTTATGATTTATACTCATATATATAGTTCATTATAATTATTATTATTTTTTGCTCATTCATGTTTTGTGTGTGCATATGTGTGTTCAGAATTATACTCCACATTCATTCATGTGTTTGTATTTAGAATTATACTCCAAGTTGTTGACAGTTGTACTGAGTCACCCTTGTTACATGTATCCGGTGTGACTTTAATGAATATCGATTCTGTTATGAGTCTTTCTTTCCATTTGTTCATGTTTGTTTTTAGAATACACACATTGTCCCAATCGATATTGTGGTTTTTGTCCCATGCTGCATGTGGAGCTATCGATGAATTTTTTTCAAGATTTTTGTCCCTGTTGGTTGACCTTTAGTTAGGCGTTTATGTTCATTCACTCTTATTTTGAGTGATCTGGACGTTTGCCCCACATATTTAGTCGGACAGTCAGTCAGCACAAGATATTTTATAAATCAAATTGTTTTTATCCATCATTTTTATGGGATCTTTCAGTTTTTTGATTAGATTCGTCGGTTTGAAGGTTGTTCGAATGCCGATATTTTTGAGGTTTCCGTGTATTGCCTCTGATGTACCATTTTTATATGGTATTGCGACTGTTTTTTTCCATTTTTCCTTCTTGTTATTCTCCGGTTTTACCCTCTTTTTTCTCTTTTTTATATTATCTTTTATAAATTCTCTAGGGTAGTTGTTTTTGAGTAGCATTTTGAATAGGACTTTTATTTCTTTACGCTAGTCCTCTGGTGCTGTTGTAAGTCTACGTATTCTATCTGCAGGACCTTGTATTAGTCCTCGTTTTACCGTGAGTGGATGAGCTGAGTGATAATCAAGGAATTTTCCAGAGTGTGTGGTGTTTCTATATATCGTCGTTTTTATGTCACTATCTCTCATTCCTATTAGTTTGCAGTCTAACATAGGCAGGAACTGCCTAACACCGGAGGACCAGTGTAAAGAAATAAAAGTCCTATTCAAAATGCTACTCAAAAACAACTACCCTAGAGAATTTATAAAAGATAATATAAAAAAGAGAAAAAAAGAGGATAAAACCGGAGAATAAAAAGAGGGAAGAATGGAGAAAAACATTCGCAATACCATATAAAAATGGTACATCAGAGGCAATACACGGAAACCTTAAAAATATCGGGATTCGAACAACCTTCAAACCGACGAATCTAATCAAAAATAAGATAAATCAACTGAAAGATCCATAAAAATGATGGATAAAAACAATTTAATTTATAAAATATCTTGTGCTGACTGACTGTCCGACTAAATATGTGGGGCAAACGTCCAGATCACTCAAAATAAGAGTGAATGAACATAAACGCCTAACTAAAGGTCAACCAACAGGGACAAAAATCTTGAAAAAAATTCATCGATAGCTCCACATGCAGCATGGGACAAAAACCACAATATCGATTGGGACAATGTGTGTATTCTAAAAACAAACATGAACAAATGGAAAGAAAGACTCATAACAGAATCGATATTCATTAAAGTCAAACCGGATGCATGTAACAAGGGTGACTCAGTACAACTATCAACAACTTGGAATATAATTCTAAATACAAACACATGAATGAATGTGGAGTATAATTCTGAACACACCTTTGCACACACAAACATGAATGAGCAAAAAAATGAACTATATACATGCGTACGAATTATGTGTGAATAAAACAATTCCAACAGTGGTGTGAACACGGGCAGTGGTAATTTTGCTCGAAATATTACCAATAACAAAACTTATCATTGTGTGTAAACTATTGAAATATAATTATACTTTACTATTTTACGTCTAGTTCTATGAATAATCACATAATAATTATGTAGGTATTAGCGGTAAATACAGCAAGACACACTGCAGAATTTCTGTTTGGCGACACAAATATTACACCTCAATGGACGTTTATACTTGAAGTTCAGCTTAATGGCTGTGATGTTCATATTTGAACCATTCTTAAGAGTGTAAAAATGAGTTTGTATGACATCAAAGGATAACAGCGATACAACAACTTACTGAGTCACCTCTTCCCGTATTCCTGGAAAACGTTATTTAAATATGTTTATTTCAGTGTACTTTGAGAAGAACTAATGGGAAAATCTACTTTATAATAGAGTGAAAATATACCAAAAGTATCGTTTTAGATCACAGCTACAAGTAACACGTTAGTTGTTTGTATTTTTCTTTTAGTTCTGAGAGAAACGTATGGCTACAGCTGCACGTTTACATTGCGTTCGGTTCTCTGCCAACATTTTCACCTGGCTCCACGTCTGCCCATATGCTTTCATCTTCTCTTCACTTGACCGCCTTCTTCTATATGTCACCGTCACACTGACGACCAATTCGTTGCTTCCCATTCGGTAGGGTTCCACTCAAGCGAAGGCCTATCGTGTGATGTCACTTGATGTTTTCCTCAGAATATGGCCAATCAATCTTCATTTCTTCCTGCAAATCTGTTGCACAAGTGATTCCTGCAGGGTTGGCTCGCTCATTGCCAGATATCCCTGTTACTGATGTTTTCTGGTTGGTCATCTGATCTTGATAATTGAGCGAAGACAGCTATTGATGAAGATCTGTAGTTTGTTTGACGTGCTCTTCATGACGTGGTGCCAAGTCCCTGATCCACAAAGTAGTACTTTCTTCACATTGGAATTAAAAATCCGGATCTTATTTCGCATGCTGATTGCTGTTGACCTCCACATCGACTTGAGAGTAATGAAAGCTTGCCTTTAATTTCCTGATCCTCCTCTTGATATCCTCATCACTTCTGCCTGTAGTTGAAACATTGCCTGCCAGGTAGGTAGGTAAAAGAGGCTGCTTCTTTCAGATTTCACCCAACTATGCTGATTGTTGTCTGATATTGTTGCTGTTGGCCAGGAATCTTCATCACCTAACTATCTTTTCTCAATGTTCACATAAAGTCAAATTTTTGATGCTTCTTTTATTGCCAACGTGTTAATTTTCACTTGCATATCGTCTGTGGGTAATTGGACCTATGCCATTGGGGAATTCCAGATCCTCCAAGTTTTTTGTATGCTTACAAAAGTGTCTGAGTTTTACAAATTGTAACATCAGTGAGTGTGAAAGGTTCTGATTACACGTATGTTTTACAAACTAAGTTGATAGATGTTGAAGATGGTTGGACAGAAGCAACATTCAATAAATAACTTCTAGGAGATGTGGAAACACTGAACACTGGGTTACACACATATGAGATTTTTCTTAGATTTGGCGCTTCGGTGATTGACGTAAAATAACTCGCATAGAAAGAGATTTCAACAGGAAAGACATTTGAACATTGAAAAATGGTTGATATTTTTTTTAACATATCAGAAAGAGCCATTGAATCGGGTCCCAGTGGCTGAATGGTATACGAGCTTGCCTTGTAACCGGAAGGTCCTGGGTTCGAAACCCAGTGGGTGCGTACTGCCGATGATTCCCAATCTAGGATGAAACAGCAGCTGTCCAGTACTCCCTGGTTTTCAATGGTTCTCTAACTGATATCAATCCGTGATCAACTCGTAAAATATCAGAAAGAATTGAAATTCAAGTCAAATTTTGTTTTATTCCATGTGTATAGTATGAAATCATTGAAAGTGATAGTTAACTTACTGTCTTGATGAACTAAAAGTGCCAGTGCTACTAGTACTTGCAGCAGAATCTCCACCCTAAAAAGGCATCAGATATTTTAAATATTTAAGGCACGTCTTTCACACTGCTGGATACATGTAGGCTTATCATTTCAATACTCTCAAATAATATATGCCATGTATTCAGGAAATAATTATAATAATCATCTTTTCGTAAAAGTATTGTATTTCTACGCACGAAAACATTTCTAGCCAAATAAACCATGAAATACGCCTTCATCAACCTGTAGCCAATTTGGAAATCTTCCGCACTTCTCAGCATAAGGAACAACAAACACCAATGTCAAGTTAATCGGTTCTTCTATACTGGTCAGAAACTTGCATTGTGTATCATGAGAAGGAATTACAACAGGTCACTGCAGAATTTCAATAACAGCTGCCTTCTATGGCTCCGTATTGCAGATAAAATGGCCAGTCAAAAACAAGAAGGAACAAGAAACAATAGGAAGAAACCAACCAAGTACCGATCGCTCAACAAATATACAAGAGAAATCAGAGATAGATTAGGCCTACATTGAAGAGGCCGCAATATCGGCGGTGGAATACAGTTCAGCATGTGTATTTGCATGAAAATTTAGGTCTACCTTGAACTTTGGAAATTTATTATTGATCATAAGCAGTCAGTCAATAACACCAATTTACTGACTATGTTTTACTAAGAATTTTTCAATGGCAATGGATATTTCAGATATTTGAGTAGGCGATCGACACTGCAATGCGTGATGACTGCACTTGAAAATACAGTCTGAACTGTGACAGGGTTTATAGTTCCCATAGTGTAAAGCCAATCTAGTAATTACTGATTTCACTTCCATTCTTACTGTTTAAAATGTAAGGCATCAATTATATGGAAGTTTGTTGTTCATAAGTCATTTTATAAGTGTGCACGTCATTTAAAACTCTAAAATCAGCCTTGAATCCTGTCGGATATGTAATTAACAAGTTTTGTAACTTACACATTGAAGACTTGGAATGAAATAACCTGCAGGGAAGCATAGAGTAGATGAACAAATTATTTACGGAGTTGGATTATTAAACTGATGACAAATATTGGTGGAAGGATTTCATAATGAGCTGATATCAGTTAGAGAACCATTGGAAAACTACTAGAGAGAAATGGACAGCTGTTTCGTCCTAGTTCGGAGCTCTCGTCAGTACGCACCAACTACCAGAGTTCGAAATCGGGACCTTCTGGTTAGAAGGCGAGCTCGCAGACCATCAAGCCACAGGGACCCGATCCAACGGCCAGCCCATGAATTCTAACTTATGTAGTTTTATGATATGACATGACCACTTCGCAATATCATCTTCAACGAGTTACTGCCTCACCTTCAACCTGATGCACCCTACTGGTCACGGCTTCATAAATGAAGTCAAGTCAAATTAAATCCGTACAAAAACCAATACTTCATTATATATATATATATATATATAATTGTGGGGATCAATCCGCGACAAAGAATGGATTTTCTGATCCACATTCGTTCACTGTTACTGCAATTTGTATCGAATTGGATGCTTTTTATAAGAAAGGGGTTTTGTTGTTTATTTTCGTTTTGTTTTTCATCAATACCCTATAAAAATTTACAAAGAGTCAAGGTCAACATGTCACAAATTATCTGCTATCAATCAATACTTTGTACAAACAAAGCATGTTTATAATTGTACAATATACTTTAAATGACCGGTATAAATCGCTTTCCCATTATTTTGGTGAAATAGAGCCCAGAGCTATTTGTTGTTCAGGAGTTCATTTCTCTGCGAATTTGTCTTCAATCTCTTGAAAAGTTCAACTGTGAAATCATTATTCATACTAGTATATAATGATTGAATAAGACTTAAATTGACCTCTCTTTAAACAGCCTTCACGTTTAATGTTTCTAGTTTCTTCGTGTAGATGCTTTAAAGATAGGTATATCTAAATCTACAAAATGTATGTAATTACGTTTGTAGTTCATGGTAATTATTTTATTGGAAATGGGAGGCTTTGAGTGAAACAGAATAAGATTTCTAACAATATTTTTTTTCATCGTAATAATGTCACTTGCCGTAACATTCTTCTTTAACAATAGATTCAAAATCACTTACGGAAAAAGTGACACAAAAATCCGGCGTCATTGAATGGCAAATACAACAGAACTGAAAGAAACGGGAATCAAGAATTATGGATTTGTTGACAAAATACATTTTCATTTAGATAGCAATGAATAGACACAGACTCTCCGATTATTTATGTTTCACTTCGTCAAATTAATGCCTGACAGTCTTCACTAGCAAGTTCATATGCGTAAATTAGACCCATCATCGAAGGAATATAGAAATATATCCATGAAACCTTAATTTACGTTCTGAGTAAACTACAGAGCATGAAACTGTTATCCCAGGTATAAATTACTACCACCTTTGGTGTATGTTTATGTAACTTGATCTTTTTTTCAGAACACTCGCCAATTGATTGGAAGTTCAGACTTAGATTGTCGGTCGATACAATCTTGTGGCCTGATATTAAATTTGAAAAGCAGCAAAGGATGGGTGTAAAGCATGACATTCTTTTTTATGAAAACAATCTCATAACTGATGAAAACTGAAGGCCAGAACATCTATTTTTCATGCGATATGCTGAACAATGGAAATGTTTGGGTACAACTCTAGCACTGACAACCTACGTTTGCATAGAATGCATTGGAGTATGTGGGAATCTCCGTATACTTTTCTTTTTACCTTCACGTTCCCAGTGGAGCATAGGGCTTCAAGCTAGTGGCTTTAAGTTTCTGTAGCACTGTTTATTTTACAGGATGGGGTTGCTAGCCTCATGCTCGACCTTTCCTCTCTACCAGCACTATTTCTGGCTTAGAGAGGTAAAGGAGCGCGTCGGCGGGAGATCGAACCCCGGACCATGTGCATGGTCAGCGGGCGTCCTAACCGCTAGGCCACCGACATTTTATCTATTCAAATGTTGGTTTGCAGGGATTTGACTTGAGTGGTTGTAGGATTTCATCATGAGCTGACATTAGTTAGAGAACAATTGGAAAACCAGCTAGAAGTACTGAACAGCCAGTTGTTTCGTCAGTCTACTTTTGGACTCGTCATCAGTATGCACCCACCACCAGGGTTAGAACCCAGACTTCAAGCCACTCATTGGGACCCAATCCAATGACCAGCCCATGAATTCCGACTTCTGCCAATTCACGACATAGCGTGAAAACTAGCCGGTGTCTTTGGCGAGTATTTGTCCTAACACCCGACCGGCTGTACTCTAATGGTCACGACTTCCCACTAGAACCCAAGTAACTACCCACCTGGATAAAGCCAGTCACAAGTGTGCATCAGATTGGTATTCAAATGTTGGTTTGTTGATTATATATATATATATATATATATATATATATATATATATATACAAACAGATTACATAATTGTTTATCCACGTTTTATTTTATATTCTTAATAACAGTACATTTCATTGCCATTTATATGACAATTAAAACTAACAGACTATTACTCCATGATATATTTGTACCCCAATACAGTTTCTGATATCAAACTAATTGCCTTTACTGCCTATTGCATTCTAACTTGCATGGATGTATAACTGCATAGTGCGAGAATAAGTGTAAGCTCAAATTCTTCATGTTCTGAATTTATATATACACTATGAACATATTTATATTACTAAAAACAAACAATTAACCTATCATCATCAAGTCATGATAATTTTCTGTACAGATGATTAAGCAACAACGTATAGCTTTATATATATATTTTCCTGTGCCGTCATTTGAATTAACTGAATATATATAGTGTAAATTGCTGACGATACCTACTGTCGTTCCTCTGAACATGTATTCGGAACTTACCGTTGTGTATTTTCACCAAAACACTTGTTTGTGAGTGGCATAGCATTCAGCTAGTAAGTGCTGCCATAGGTCTTCTAAAAGTAAGCCTCATCGCCTTTTGTGTGACATATGACAGCTGGTTTTACAATACGGTGTAACGGATAACTGAATATATACATTCATGTGTGTATTTTTTAATGATGCTTCATGTAAGTAAAATAAGTTCCAAATTCGCCAGTCTTAGATGAATTCAATTTATACAATTCGATGTGGAATTTCACTATAGAGTTCGTTAGAAACCGAAATTCTTCACATCGCGAAAGGGTGTTATCAACTTGATACCATAAGTAATAATCAGAGAAATAGATTTAAACGCAATATGCTACATACTACTTACTGACTGAGGGCAGTAGCTGAGCATCAGTCATTTCGACCAGTACTGCTTACTAGTTAGATCAAAGTGATCCCTACAACAGTTGAACGTTTTGCTATTTTGGTGCAAAGCGAACCAACAGGTAACCCGGTCTGCCTAAGCTTAGTCAGCCCAATCATCTCACAGCATACCATTTCTGGAACCCTATCTGGGGGGACAGGTAAGTTGGCTCTCATCAGCAGATTCAAACCGCGTAAATCACCCACTAGTTCGCCTCAAAAGGGTGAAATGAATCCTTGAAATAACCTGCCAACACATAAGGTTATGCTGACTACAGAGTAGGTCGACTGTCCTATTCAACGGACAAATGAACATAGACAGAAATTTATATTTCTGTTAATCTTACACGTTAGGAATTGATAGTTGATCTGTGACATTTAGAATTACCTTTAAAAGGGAAATCCTTGCGTTTTACTGCTGAACTGTTTTGTCATTAAGTTCTTTTATGAAGCATGACTAAAATTGTATTTATGAAGAAAGGAGTCCAAATTGTCGGATTCCCGCTTCCATGTCACTGTTTCATTTAACCTCATGCAAATGGAAGTCCAACTGGAAGTGGGCACAATTTACACATACAGTTTAGTCTCAGTATTTTTTACGATCAACATTATGTTACGCAATCTTTCGTGCAGTAATCGGGAATTTAGTATTCATATAACAAAATAGGATTGTTCATTACCAATAAACATAAGCTACAAGACAGATATTGTCATCTTACCTAGGAATAAAAGTAACTGTGTTGAAATTAATACATTTCTTGAAGGCATAGTGGTAGAAAATGAAATGTACACAAATGAAATCCCTTATATTTATACTAAATTTATACTGGTAAGAAACATAAGATGCTAGTGGTCGTGAAGACCGATTGGTCAAAACTAAGGTAGGTTTGTGGCATATCATGAGATAATTCATAATATGTCTACAACATTTGTTTACAAGTTATAAATTTTGAAATGTTTTCATAAGTAAAGAAGACTTACAACGCCTACAAAACGAAAACAAAATCATTTGATAGAATGTTTTGAGTAAACAGATCAAATCCTGACAATTCCGCACAGTATCAGTAATGTACCGTTTACAATAAGGCTATTATTGTTATTATTATTAAGTCACATTTATTTACATTTTAGAATTTCTTATGACGCGTTTGACGTCATCTCTTGACAATATGAGGGAGGTTACCTAACACATTTCGTTTCTAAGTCTTCCTCTCCCCACCCTCTACAGCATTTTCGACGATCAATCAATTATTCTACGGAGGGCATTCAACAGTTTCGTTTTATTGCAAAATCTTGAAGATAGTAAACAATTTTGAAATCATATGAGTAAATAGAATGTATAATACATTGTCTTGTAAGGGTTAGTTAGTTTATATTTAGCAGTACGACTTAGATATGTAGATAGTGAACGTTATCAGAAGACTTATCATTTTCCGAAGCTATGTGGATGTGTGACTCCAATCATCCAGTTATACACTCTGAAAAATAACCTCTAATGCGATAAGTGTGTTCCCTAACTGAAGAGCTTCTTGGTGCACTATGCCAAATCACAGCGCATAGCCCAGTTAATTCACTTTTTTAATGCGCACATCTTTGGTAGTAGGATGTGGTTGCTTGTAAGAAGACACGTGAAAACTCTCCTGCTTAAATTGAAAACGACAGGATGGGCATTGGTGCAAGGTTGAAATGCAGGAGATCGAGCGAGAAGGAGATCAAAGCTAATGAGCAGTCATAGGATTAGTTAAAGAGGACTGCAGTGAACATCAAGGAAACTCACTTTCAGTAGGTTTTTCGATGGACATATCCATTACATAACTTGTGGGCAAATGGCCATTATTTCTTGTAAGGCAACCTAGGATAGCCAACGTTTCACTTCTTATTCAAGTTCTACCTAAAATTATGGCTTGTGGTGTTACTCCAATATGCTGTCAGAGTATATTTCTCATGTCATAAATCTCATAAGACGTTATTGGCGCATTCAATATGAGCAGCAGCGTTGTGAGAATCCACTATTAAACTAGAGTACATGTAAACCGACAGTATTATTTTAATGAATGTTAAGAATGTCAATTATCATCTGCGATTATCTACCTAATTTTTTCCATGAAAGGTTTTTGTTCATTCATCTCTGCTGTAAGTTCTAATATTTTTATCATTATTCCCTGGCGTTCTGAGTGGAACATAGGGCTGGCTTTAACAACACATCTCCAGTTTGTTCTGTTTTCTACCTTTCTCTTAAGCTGGCTTCATGATTGACTAAATTCACTCATCTCTTTCTCACACGATCTACTCCCCTGTCACAATAGCACTGACAACCCATTAGTCGCTTCTCATTTGAATTCCACACGAGTGATGATGGCCGGAAGTGCGACATCTCATTCGGTGGCTTCCTCAATGCATGCTCAATCCACCTCCATTTCCTCTCAGGTATTTTTTGAGCGATCGACTATTGCCTGTTGGTTTGTCCCACTGCAGAGTTTCTTGTTGCTTGTTCTTTTTGACCGGCTATTTGATTTTCAATGTGGAGCCAGCGAAGGTAGCCGTTAAAGGAAATCTTAACACTGCTGGAAATCCATTACGTGACACACATTACAAGTTTCTGACGTGTATAGAAAAACCAAATTGACTTGGTATTTGAATCTTGTTGCTAATGCTCTGTGTGGACGATTTCCAAAATGGTTTCAGATTGATGCAGCCGTATCTTGACTTTCCGATTCTCACTGGTTTTGACATATTCGTTCGTCCCTGTTGTAGCTGAAGCGATGCTTCCCAGAAAAGTGAAGGAGTCAACCTCTATTAAATCTCTCCTGTAGACGGTGGTTGGTTCCGGTTGTTGTTGCTGTTGGTTGGTTATCTTCGTCACCTCTGTCTTCTCTGTGTTCTCCTGCAGTCCTGTCTTCGCTTCTGGCATCTTCAGCCAGTTTGTTGGTTTTGGCTTGCATGTTTTCCGGTTTGTGTGACATTAGACATATATGTAGACATTTATACGTAAGTTCTAAGTTAGATAATAAAAATAAATCAACATGGTGATTCAGGCAAATGTTGGGTAATAACCTCTAAAATGCTGTCAATACAATAAATGTTTAAGGTATAATGATGACAAGTAGTAAGCTCTTACTTTTTCTTCTCTAATTACAAGACACTTGAAAATGACGTATATTTTTAACGTAGTCCACAGCTATTGCACCTCAGGGGAAGCTTTGTTTAACTGCAGAAATATCTTTTATAACTATTCTTACCAATAAATTCAAATTTATCACTCCAGGTAGAATCGCTGGAAGTAACATAAGATTGTAGTGAAATCTCTACCTTAACTTCATCGATCTGCAAAGACCTTTGACAGCACAGAATACGAAGTAGGTTAGAAACTAATTCAACACTGTGAAGTGCCCCAAATCTTCATCAACTTCATTCAACATTTATATGACAATGACACGTGTCAGGTAGTCCACAATGTGAAACTCACTGAAGTCTTTGTAGTGAATACTGAAGTAATACAAGGCTGGCTGCTATTATCATCAATGATATTCTTAATTGTGGTGGGGTTAATTATGTGGCAGACTCCGAGGAGTAGGGGGGACCGGTAAGAAAACTCCAAATGACCTGGACTTTGAGTAGCTTTTATGTCCAACGTCACTTAAACTTAAAGAATTAAATACAAAAACCAACAAATGGATAAAAGCATCTATTAGAGAAGGCAGGAATTCAAATGATTTTTGGAAAAGGCTGAGATAATGGGAATAACGAGCCAACAACAAACTTCTATTACTAATAAACGAGGAAATTAGAAGGAAGTCAATCCCTTCTCTTATCTAAGCAGCGTCATCTAAACTACACGTGATAGGGATGATGACGTCAAGGTTGCATTCAAAAAAGTAAAACAGACGTTCATCACCACCAACATGAAGAATAGGACACATGTCATCAACAATAATATAAGGTCAGGCTCCTGTTTGGTTTAGAGACTCTTGGTGTCGTCAAGAACATTTTCAACCTGTTTCTGGATATTGTCATCAACAGCTGTCTTCACCGGCTCCATACTGAAGATCTGGTGGCGAACTTCAAAGGATTATGAACAAGAAACTGTGTAAATGAATAAAACAAAAGTCCACTGCTAAAACGTTATACCTAAAAGAATGGAGAAGTATCAGAATTATGTTGAACAAACTGTTGAGTGAAATAGTGAACCAGGCGAACTCTCAAATGAGACTTAAGAGGGAGAGTAAGTAGATCTTTTGTTAAGACACTGTTAGCTTACAATCAAAAGTAGATCCTGGTTAACAGGATTTCAGAAAGTGAGATGATATGGTTATGTGCTGTTGAGGCTTTATGTCTCACTCGGAACAAGGGTGAATAATCAAAGCTTTTTCAAACAAATACTTCGATTTACAACTGAAATCTCTCATGGGTCGCTTAATGACACAGTTTTCTCTGACTTTTATTCATTTGAACTTGCCTGTGTGTCTATTTAAATTGCAGTGTAAAGGTTCAGTTCTTTTTGGATCGACTAATAGATGTATGTAAGCCAAGGTGAATCAAGCTGTAAATCAAAAATCAAAAAAAATATAAAATATCCACTTGTCTACTGACCACAGTTATACTCACTGGTGTTTAAATTTTGCCTCACACCCAACCATCTCTCTTCACCAGTTTTATTACTGACTGAGTGAGTTAAAGAAGTGCGTCGATCAGGGACTCAACCTCGTATCACATGCCTGGTCGGCGGGAATTTCACCATTGTGCCACTGATGTACATAACATAGATATCGTTTTCAAACGCGCAATGCTATAATTATATCAGTTGTTCCTATATGCAACGCCTTTATCATTATAACTTCCACGTAATAACTACTGTTTACAACAGAAGGCTCTGCGCCGAATAATGTGGATATATGCCTAAGAGGTCTGAAGAATATTTTGTCTTGGAGCGCATTCGTTACCTGCTGATGATCGCATGGAAAACTATACCAGATATACTCAGAAGAGAAGTGTGGATGGTATCTCAGTTTATTCTAAAGTACTCTATTTTCTATGCAAACAATATCTGAGCTACTTCAGTTAGTATACAATGTCTACTGTTTAATTGTCTGTCTTCCCTAGATCATGAAGATATGAAAACAAATTCATCACATCAGTATTTCTTTTTAAGAAACTACTTATGTTAATGTTGAAGAATAATTTACTTTGTGAAGCGTATCACTTATCATATGACAAGAACATATGATATGTTGTTGTGCAGAAGAGTATGAGGTCTTTGCTTTAATGTAGGCAGTTCTAATTTTGAACAACACATTTAAGCGAACAATATTGTGCTTTCAATTAGATCTCATCAGGCTTAACTCTAATATATATATAAGTTTACAAATAAAAATTCAAATATAAACCAATCATGGTGTTTTGTCTATAGGATAATACGATGGTGAATATAAATTGTGCAATTAGTCATAATAGTGGTAATGATAATATTAATAATAGTAATAATAATGTAACAACAGAAGACAAGGGCCAGGCAACAGATCGTTTCATTATGAAAATCAACACGTATTTATACATATTTCAACTACATTATTATAGCTTATGCAAGTAGACAAGCGCAGTCATCTGATTGGTTGTTTATCAGAAGTTAGGCGGACAAACGCAGGCTTCTGATTGGTTGTTTCGGGATTCCTCGACAAATAGAGTTCTCTATCTGCGAATCATATTTTGCCACGTTAACTTTGCTGTGATTGGTTGTTGAATCAGCCTTGCTCATATTTTCTCACGGCCTG